TCCACAATGAAGTCCACGACGGGTCGCACAGTGGCGTCCACAACGAAGTCCACGACGGTCCGCACCAGAGGCTCGCTACCCCGAACACACGCCACGCCAAGAACGACTTTGACAGCCCCAGCTAATGTTGTGGACCCGCCCCGGAGGGCTAGGGGGCCCACGCCGGCGCAGCGGTCGCTGGATCACTTTTGTCCGTCGCCAGAACTGATCCCCAGCCAAACGCCCACGTTCGCGCAGACAGAGATCGACGATATAGACGATGTCCTTGAGGTTGGTCACTCAGGGAACAAGAGCAGGTCTGGTTAACAACGGTGTCATGAGCAAAGTATGGGTGCGCACTTGCAAATTGCAAATTGAAGAGCGGGGCGAATATGTCGAGTTATGGGATATCAATATGCCCGAAGAAACAAACTGTAACACGCAGTAACTTGTGCTTGCAATAACACAAAACTTGCCATGTTTGTCAAACTTTTAGCTTCGTAAACTAACGTGTTTTTGCCCACAATCACGATGATCGGCACGTCCGCTTTCTTTCCTCAGGAACGCGTCTACCACTTGAGCACGGAGCTGTCGCGGGGCAACGCTTCGAGGGACCGGGACCAGCTGGAGGCCAACGAGATTAGCAACGAGCTGGCGCCAGGACTGGGGCTCGGCGACATCCGCGACAGCACGGAGAGCGCCATCCGGAGGACGAGCAAGGCGCGGCGGAGCAAGAAAGGCAGCCGTGAGTACCGACCCGGGGCCGGGTGGGCGCCTGCGGGCTCCCCGGGTAGGCATGCCCGCCCGACACGCGCGCATGGAAGCAAACGAATTGCCTACCCACCAGGCGCTTGGCAGCGTGTCGAGGATGATGCGGAGAACTTTGTTCATTTGGGGATGATTTTACAGCAGGCGAAAGACCTTACCTTGACCCTTTGACCCATGACCTTGTTTTCCCTCCGAGTGTGACCGATGATGAATGGTAAGTCGTACTTACACGGAAGCAGACGAAAGTCGCATCAGCATGTCATGAGTACCTCCAAGTAATCGTGTGCTGACTGTATGATTTGATCGAACTACAAACAGAAAACAGGTATAACGCGAGGGAAAAAATAAATAAATATATTTTCTTCACTGCACAATTTATTGGGAAGGGGGAGGGGGTTGTAATAATCTGTGAACTTACTTAAACGTTCTTTACGCCCCTTTTACACTCTCCGTCGAGAAAATATACATACTAGATGTCAACTACCAAACCGTTTCCTATCAACAGGCCAGGCCAAGCACTGCCAGGTGTCGGAGTGGTCGCCCTGGTCCGCCTGCAGCGTGTCTTGCGGTGTGGGAGACGCCACGCGGACCCGCCGCGTCCTGGAGCACCCCCGCCGCGGAGGGCGCCCCTGCCCAGCGCTACAGGAGAGGCGGTGGTGCGGCGGCCACAGTGAGTGCCCGCAGAACTTCTTTAACTGGTGAGGCTCGCCCCGGGCTGGTCGACAGGAAAACACCTCCACCCCCAGCTCACCCGGCGTGGCGGGGACACCACCTTGCACTGCTAAGCAGCCATCAGCCATCGGAGCTGAAGACAGTACTTTGTCGAGGAAGGGCAACGTACTCAGGTTGCAGTTTTATTTTGTTGTGCAAATAATAAAGGGGGCTGGTAAACTTTCAATGGGATTGCTCAAAATTTTGAGTGCTCTACAAACGCGCGATAAGCCAGAGTTGAGAAAAAGCCCTTGATGTATGATAATGTGTAACAGCCACCATGTTAGCATGACACAGTATAGCTTATCACTATGGGACATTTAAGGAATGTCAAATGTTGTTCCTGATATATTGAGGTCAATGTGTCAATGTGAAATGTAATCAGATGATATGTTGACGTGTCTAGTTATGCTCCTATTTTCCAGATTTTTGAAGAATTTCTTGTCTTGATTGATTTTATCACTCTAGATCAGGGTATTAAAAATGATAAATAGAATACAATTTGTAGAAAGAATATTAATCAGTGTTTTTTTGAGTTTATCATGTAACAACAAAATCTACATTAGATAGAATACTTTAGATCAATGAACAACGTCACTTCTGTTAAAATTAATACTTGTAATTAAAGAGAATAAAAGTCTGTAGCTGAAAACAGAACACTTGCATTAGGTCCCTCAAAACTATCATCCACTGCTAATATCAACATCATACATATTTCATATGATACCTAATAGTCATACTTGTGAAAATTGTACAGTACAAAATTCATACACTAAAATTAAAATAAGCCAAAAGAAATAGATATGTATCTTTTTAACAAAACAAACAAAAATGACTGAATAAAATACGAGCACATAGTTAAAAACAAAATTTAGTTTCTCTGTAACAGTTTCCCATTTTTGAGATAGATAAAAATAAAAGTATTTGCGACATTGTACCTGCTGCAATGATTTGTACTGAGAGGTTATCTCCAAAGCAGTCAAGCTATCTCTGCTGACTATTTCTTACGGGAACTTCTGTAAGAACGAGTCTCTTTACGTAAGGAAGACCGCGTAGTCCTCTCAGAGGAACTTGTATCTAATTTTTTAGGACTCTTCTTGGGCTGCTTCAAGGGAGAATGTTGCTGCAAGTTGTTGTTACCAGGAGAGACTCTGCCAGAAGAATCACTAGATAACATAATGATTTCTGGAGTTTGTGGTTCATTTACCCGTTCCTGAGCTTCATTTTCTTCAGAAGAACAATTCAAAAGCACTAAATTTTGTCTTTTGGTGACATCTTTGGCAGGAGATATTTCAAGCCCATTCAACTGCATGATTGGAGGAAATCCATGCATTTTCTCTGGAGTTGCAACTGGCTGGTCATCTTTAGATCCAAGTCTACAGTTTTCGGGAGATGACAAGTCAATAGAGAGTCTAGACTTGGTTTTATAGGGAAGAATTGCATTATCTTCCTCTGAGGTCTCATTTGAATCATGAGCTTCAAGAGAAACCATACAATCTTTCAAAGGAATAGGTTGAACTAACACAGCCATTGTCTGGCATACTTTATCACAAAAAACTGGCTCAATAAAGTCTGTTTGACAAACTAAGTCAGACTTGTTCTTTGACAAAGAAATTATTTGGTTAACTAAGGTTTTTCCTAGATTACCAGGTTTTGGACTTGGGACAGGTTCTGTAGAAATATTGCCAGCTTTAGGTCTTGAGGAAGATTCTGCAAAGATGTTGCCAGGCTTTGGACTTGGGGAAGATTCTTCAAAACTGTTGCTAGCTTTTGGACTTTGAGAAGATTCTTCAAACATATTGCCAGCTATTGGACTTGGTAAAGATTCTGCAGAATCTTTATCAATAGAAACAATTTTCACTTGTATCGTTTGGACACCGACATTTTCACATAGTGGTTCTTCAAAATCACACTGGACAGAGAAGTCTTTTTCTGATTTGGTAATATCTTCCACTTCTTCAGACTCAGAATGACTAGATTCAAGTTGCAGACAAAGGTTGTCTCCTTCATTAGAGGACTCTTCTACTTCAATATTAGTTGCTTCACCTACCACAAATTTAATTGTCTCAGAAGAAAAATTTTGGGGCCAGAGGTATGATTTTGAATTGTTTGTTAAGGGTGTTTTTCCTTCACCTGGAAAAGCTTCAAGGATGTTGACATTTCCTTCATCATTACCTTGATGAGGACCATTTTTTCGGGGACTTCTATCTTGAGTCCCAAGGCTGTTTTCGCAATTTTCTTTCACTACCAACTTTGGTTTGGATTTGCCAAGTAGTGGCTTATTTGGTGAACTAGAAGATGAAGAAACCGAAGGTCTTTTCAAGGAGAGTCTACGAACATGTTTTTTATCTTGATTCCCTATTGAAGCACTAGTTTCTTTCAATTCTTTCCTAGGTGTCAGCCTTTTAGGTTCCTCAGATTGAGATGTTTCACTATCACTACTCCCATTGTCAGTAATATCAATTTTATGAAATTTTCTTTTCTGAATCCTTGGCTTTGAAACACGTCTCTTGGTCTCTACTTCACACTCATCTTCACTTGAAGTCAGAATCACAAAAGTTGGATTTTCAGTCAGTGGTTTCCTATACAGAAACAGAGTTGAGTTGATTAGGCACCTTACAAATATATACCCAGATTTTTAAAAAAAGGAAGGAGGAAACTTACTTCTTCAATCCTGCAGGGGCTTCCTTATTACTTCTCCACAGCTGAAAACATTGCTCCAAAATTTCAGATTCATCAATTCTTTCTAGTTTAATTATTGGGACAAGCCCATTAATTGGAATAACACCTGATTTTGTGTTCTGGCTCTGGCTTAGTTCACTGAAGGAGAGGGAAGATGTAATATAGTGATCACCACAGAGCTAAAATACATGTCATAAAATAAAAAAACCTGACATACTCTTCACTGAATAGGGGTGGAGTCCTGACTGCTGACTGCGTTATTCTTTCAAGTTTAACAGTTGGTTGCACATTTAATTGATCCAAAGACGAATCAGAACGTCTTAAATTTTTGGTAAATTGAGGATTGGAACTGAAATAAAGAACACATTAGTTAAAATCTAGCAAAAAACGTCCTTTATCAAGGTTACACTACACTAGGGGTGATCAAACATTGCAGATTTTCAATTTGGGAATTGTAATAGTGCTGAAAAGTTGCCTTGACAGCATGCCAACATTCCGCTCTTGAAAGCAAGAATAAATTTACCAAAAACCGGATTTTGAGATATTTTCAAGTTCTTTTTGTTCTCTTTTTTTCCCTGTGCAACGCGGGATGTTGACATACTACACATCATTAGCCTCAGTTTTTGACGTAGATCACGATTTGGGTTCCATTTTTGATGTTGAGTGAAAATTGGAGGTAGGATAGATTAACGCTTTTCAATCAAAACACCCATAAGACACCAATGTTAAATTTTTGGCCCCTGGTTCGAACACAAGATATTATCTGATTGAAAAAATACAAATGTGGTTAGTCTTACAATCTGTCGGGGCAACTTTTCAGCACTATAACAATTCTCAAATCGAAATCGGCAAAATACGATCACCCCTACTATACACTACATGAAGCTTTATTATTTTTATTTAATAAACTCCAAAAGCCATGAGTAGAACACGAATTATATGGGTCCCAAAAGAGCTCCCAATCAAAGCTCATTGTGGCCACATGCGTGGTCACGTGGGACTGAATGTGTTAGTCGGAACAGTAATGCAAAATTAGTAGAGGAAATTTAGAAGATGGTACTGAAGCTTTCATCTTCACTCATCTTCACCACTCTAAATACGCCTTTGTTGTCACCACTCCAACAAAACAATGATGCTGATTATTCTATGCAAGGCTGAGAAACAAAATTGTAAGACTTTTATTGAAATACTTACAAGAGGCTTTCCGCATCAAACCATGAGATCTTCTGCAGAAGAACATCTTGCGGATCAAAACTATCACTGAACCGCCCTGACTTCTTTAGCCTGTGGTACAATAAGCCATTATTGTTAAGGTTACTATAAATAATAAAGTCATCATGAGTGAAGAGCACGCAACAATAGGTGACACATACCAATAGTTTTTGAGAGGAAGAATTGTGCTTTTGAGACAGCACATTAAAATGAATTCCGAACTAAACGCATCTCGAGATGTGCAATCGTTTAGATTTCTTGACGGATTTACAAGACTAACGGTGTAAGGACCACCATCACCGTCGTAAGAGTAGTCTTCAGATCTGATGGCCAAACCTCCCCCTCTCTGAAAAGCACAGATGACACATGAGAAGAGATGTCAAGTATCGTACGCAAAATGTGTAGTTTACAATCAGCACATTCCGTGAAATTGAATTAAAAATAAACACAAGAAAACCGATTTCATAAGGAACACGTAATTGTAACTAAATTTCGTTCCGATAACCTCACCCTCACACCTTACCTCGATGAAGTCAGACATATCAGAATCATTGTCACAATCCCAGATTCGAAATACCATTCGTCCCTCACCACATCTGAATAAATCCTTTCGGATTGGAAGCATTATGGTGTAAAAATAATATAATGGTTGCGTGTTTACATGTGGAGCCTGACCAGCCGCTCCCGCTTCCCGCCACCGCAACTCAACAGCTGCTTTTCATTTCCACCACGTACGACAACACGGCGCCACAATCGACATTCGACACGTTAATAGACTGAACACTGAACCGTTAGTACAAAATACTTCACATCAAGAAAAAATGAGAAACTATTCATGGTTATTTAATAGAAAAAGGTGATTATTTTATTGGTGTTTCTTTTTTGCTGTTACATTTTCTTGTCAGATGAACTGAGTGAACGAAGAGGACCCGGGGAATTCTCATGAGAGCCATGCTGTGGGGGGACTGAACAATAGCTTAAGCTATTAATTAACAAATAAATTAATAAGGTTGGATTAAACTGTTTTCCTTTCCTTTGATTGAAGAACTTAAACCAGCTGTTTTATTTTATTTCAGAAATCATATTTTAGTAGAAAGATTCTTAAGAGCTAGTCTATCAGTCAGCTTTCCCTGCACTAAAACATTGTGATCAGGAATAGAAGAACTCATCCACAACACAGACACATAGAACAGGAATTTAAAAAAGGAAAAACCCCAGCAAATTTCCCTTTGATGCATTCTTATCCAGATAACACTGCTCTCTTTTACTGTCAAAATTAAAAAAATAATGGATGCAAGATGGATGTTTATATCAGTGTAGTTTAGAGAGACTTTTCAGCACTTTCTCCTTGACCACAATAAATAATGCAAAATAAGATGGTACAAAAACCAAGACGCTGCCAACAGAAAAGTACATTTGTAAGGTGGAATTGAGAACAGAAATAATTTATTCTGCTTAAAGATCATTCATCTATGGTTGAAGAATTATATGGACAAGCTAGGGCTGACACCTTCATTAAAACCATCATCACACAACCATTCAAAAACACACAGAACAAAATTACTTTGACATTCACATGTGTAGAAATGAAATATCACAACATCAAACTGAATTAATCAGAATGATAACAGTAAAAATACAATTTGGAGATGATAAAGAAATTTTAAGTCGATGTAAATCTACACTAGTTTCTTGGCTTCAAAAAAGCTCTTAAGGTGATGAGTCTGCCAGGCCCCCATTGCCAAAAGAATAGCAGTCTGGATGATGGACCACCATAATACTCGCTGGTTAGTGCTTTCACTTGTCATACGGAACCTTTCTTCCCGGTACTAGAAAAAAATAAAATTGTGTATGTGTGAAAATTATTTCAAAACTCAGCCGTACAGTTAACAATGTACAAGTAAGCACAACAACAACAGGAAAAATTTTGAGAGCAGAAAAGACTCAGGATGAAGAAGCAATTATTTATTTAGGTTTCCTCACCCGTTGGTAATTCTGTTCCTTGGATATCTGGTCAACTTGATCCAATAATTGGCGTACTCTTAACTGCAAATCAGACAACTTGTCTTTTTGAGCTACATTAGCATAGTCTATAGCATGCTCACCAACTTGGATGTCCAAATGAACCCTCTGCAGAAAGAAATAAACGATTTGTGACCTTCCTATTGATGACAAATTGGAGATCAAGATCAATAATAACAGAAAAAAGTTGTTAACTTACAAGCTGAGTGCCACTAAACCACTTGGTGCTGTTAGAGTACAAGCATATAACATGTTCTCCATGAACTTGTGAAGTGAAGGAAAGACGGCCCTCAGAACTGTAGACCTGCGAGATAAAGATTGTAAAGATTCATGAAATGAATATGGTGAACTAGATGCATCTAGTTACACATGTGTTACAGGAAAAGTCCAAGTCTGAGTGTCATGTAATCCTAGGATTGCTCAGGAAACTCAAGACCTAAGGATCACTACCACCGACATCCGGACTTAACCACTTACAGAGGTAACATCTCAATATAAAAGGAAAAGCCACATTACTTACCCTTGACAAGACTACTTTGTCATCAGGGTCCTTAACTTCAACATGCATGCCAATTCCAGGACTTGAAGGCATGAATCCGCCACTCCTTGGATCATAAAGTTCAACTTTATAATTCACTGAAAAACAGAACAAAAAATGAAAAAGTTACTAAAATTCTAAAACAGTTTAATGTAAGAGACCACTAATAGGTTTAATTAATAATATTGATAAAATCTCTCTTTGATAACTATAAATTAATAGGAGAAAAGTCACTTTTATGTCCACTCTCATATCACCATTCATTTGAAAACTCAATCAAAAATCAGTTCATAGGAATACATTATTTATCTTACTATTGGCTACTAGGAATAGAATGATAACTGGGAAGAAAATTCTAATAAATATGTTAGCATCCAAATTGCAGAAAAGTCATGTTGATGAAAAAGAACAGAATTAGAGTAACATCTGAATCTTGAGATAGGAATTACTCAGTGAAGGACACGAAATCAATCATAGTCTTTTCCAGACAGCAGTCTTACTCTTAAATTTTGTCTTGAGAAGCTATAACCGGTTAGGTGGTTAGGACGTGGATGTCATCTGCTATACTAACCAATAACAGTAGTTTCATCTGGAATTTCCTCAATAAAGCATTTTCTTTCAGTTTCTCCTATGTGAAAATAAAGTGCCGAACATGATGAGAGGGTGAGTAGTACGAAAATAAGCGACGAGTATGCTTTAGAGAGAGACATTTTCCTTGGTTACAAATAGAAACTAAGAAACTACACTGAAATTTGACTCGACGTTGGATTCACAACACAACACGTCACCCGTGATTGAACTAACACTGAAACAGATAGAAGGCTTTTCATGTGCGCCAACCTAAAAGTATTCTGCCAGTAAGCTAGATAGGTTGTATCTTTCAAATAGTGTACTCAATATTCAATTAAGATTTTTCAAAATAAAAAGAAACATTTAAAAGTCTAGTTCAAACCATAATTTTTTACGTATAAATATAAAATGTCAAGTTTTTTAAATTCTGTTAGCCTGCTACTTCTGATTTCCGACTGCCTCGTCGTCTGTCATTCTGTCTTTGTCTTTTAGGTTACCACAGAACTCTACAGACGGGTTCACTGTTTTTGATTAGATTTCATTTGCATTATTTGTTAATAATTACCATTTGTCAAGTTTTTTACTTCAATCAAACATGGATACTGTAACCTATTCCGTTCTGGGTATTGTGTTTATTGTGGCAGCTATTATCGGTCTGCTACTATATCAAAAGAAATCTGCTCAAAAAGGTACCCTATGTTATGTTTGTTGTTGTTATTATGGATAAATTCATGCCTTGCTGTCTTATCAATTTTATCACAATATTTAAATATAACGTGAAGCAAAGAGTAATTAATCGTTTTCCTTATTGACTGATCGGTATATTTTGTGGTGTAGATGTGGCTTGAAAGCTGCCTAACTTTCAAAACTTCCCTATAACGTTTCCTGCAACATAATTTTTGTTGCATCTAATGTCAAAAGGAGATTTTGTTTACAGGGTTACTTTGGTAATCCAATGCTTTTTTGGGGCTATTAACTTAAAACATTTGCTCACACAGATGCTTGGTATCGGAAAGCTGAATTTGATACTTTGTGCCACAATTTATGTATGGCTATCTCAATTTAAATGGTAATCTCTACTTTTAGCACCCAGAGAGAGAGCCGTGCCTCAACAACGAGCACAAGCTGGCCCTGGCCCGAGAAGAGCTCAAGTGGCTCGTGGCATCAGGCAACGCAACAGAGCTCAAGGTGAGCAGTAATTTGTTTTCTCTTACCGTCACTAATTTTCAAGATCGTACCATGAATGTGTCTTTATTTTTCAACTTTAGCTGCAGCACAACATGACTCTGCTGAAGAATCTGAAGAAGATGGTCCTGACCCATCAGACAAGATCGATCTCCCTGAGGGAAAAGTGGGTGCCAAGAAATTGGCAAAGTTACAGGCAAAAGCAGAGCGAAAAGCTCAAATAGAGGTGAGGATGTTTTTATTTCATTCATGTATGGCTATTCTCTTGAGGTCTTGTGTATTTCACCAGGAGACTTGTTACAGGCAGAACAACAGGAAAGAGAAGATAAGAAAAAAAGACAGCAACTTCAAGAAGAGGAAAGGCTGAAAGAAAGAGAAAAAGAACTTGAAGATGAAAAGAAGATAGAAGAGGCTGAAAAGAAAGCCCGTGAAGAGCAAGAAAGGAAAGAACATGAAGAGTACTTAAAAATGAAAGCAGCGTTTAGTGTGGAAGAGGAAGGTTTTGAGGAAGGGGAGGGTGAGGGTGAAGGCAATCTTTTGCAAGAGTTTGTTAAACACATAAAGGTCAGTGTTCCCATCTAAGAGTATATGATTCATGATTGTCCCTTATTTACAAGCCTGCCATGGATATGAAAACTCATTAAACTGTTTTTATCCTTTTTCAGGATAACAAAGTAGTAGTTTTGGAAGATCTTGCCTCACACTTCCGATTGAAAACACAGAATGTCATAGACAGAATACAAGACTTACAAAATGAGGGTATTCTTACTGGTGAGTTAACATGCATCTTTCCTAAATTTATTTATTAACAGCAATTCATTGAGAGATGTAAAAGCTGTTTATTTCATCTTCTTTTCTCCAGGTGTGATTGATGATAGAGGCAAATTTATCTACATTTCTCAAGAGGAGTTGCAGTCTGTAGCCAAGTTTGTGAAGCAAAGGGGACGTGTCTCCATTACTGACTTAGCTGAGAGTAGCAATCAGCTCATTAATTTGAATCCTACTTCCAGATCAGAAGTTTGTTCTTAAAGTGTTCTGACAAAATAAATATTTATGTTTTTGTATATGTTCTAAAATGTAAAAGTTTGATTAAGCTGCAACATCATTTTTAATTGACAAGGTTATAGATAACACTGAGTGATCTAGTATCAGTTTGCGTAAGGTTTTATTAGGCAAATATTTGCGTACATCAAATTTACATTTGAATTGCACACATACAATATCAGGCAATCTAGATGTATTTCATAAAGGGGATTGCCTCCCACCTGCTGTAAAGCTCCAATTGGTGCTCCCTCAAAAACAATGACTAAAATACTGTCAGAGGTGCAGCACAGATCAATTTCCTAGAATTAAAATGCAAGAAACACAATCTACAAAACCAATTATTACAAAAAATATCAGGTAAAAAAAAGAGCAAGAATGCTGACACTGAAAACCACATTAAAAAATAAATGTACAAGCAGCTGACTTCATAAGTATCTGCAGGCTGACCCACAAAGCAAATTCCAGAACATGTGTCTCCCAGCATGGATTAATCATGAGAAAGAAAGATGTTCTGCCTTGTTTTACAAGATGCTCCACAACATTTATGAATTGTTATTCACAAACACCTGACTCATAAATTAACACTAATAATAAATATAAATAACCCTATCATTGGCATGTCATGAATGTGTGTATACACGGCATTAAATAAAAGATGCGCACATAATTACAAAGAATGAAAATCTCTCTGGGGAAAGTATTTTTTTAAAATACACTGAGAAAAATGTCACATTCCTCAGATACATAAATTGAGACAGAATCAGCAATTTACAGAGGTCCTTGAATTTTAACATGAGGAGGTAAATGGAAGTGTTTTTCCTTTATCTAATCACTGTATTTTGAAGCATTATTACTGAGGAGGGTTAACTCCCATGTTTGTTGCACCATTCTCAACACATTCATCGTCCATTAATTCTTCCTCAGAGTCATTGTCTCCTTCATCATCACTTGTGATGTCTGGGTCACCTGCTTGAGCTTCACATTTAATGCATTGGCAATTGAACAAGTAGTTCTCCCTGTATGTCAAAGAAAAAATAAATATAATATAAAATACTTGACATTGAAGAAACAAACAAAAATAAAAAGATTCCTACCTTAGCATTTTGAGACGAGAATGGCGGCTTCTTTCCAGAGTGCATTCATCAAGATAGCTAATTGTAATTTCATCTCCAGGCTGTACATTGCGTGTGGCAGTCATCACAAGTCTGAAGTCACTATAAGGGAAAGAAGGCTCTGCATTTGGAATGCAACTGTGATTGCATGAGCTCTGCAAACTGTATAAGGCTGAACCTTCACAATTCAAGAAACTACCAACAACTGGAAAAGATATTGAAAATTTAGAAGTGTTAATACACAACTAACAAAGTTGTGCAGCATTTTCCTGAAATGGCAACTTACCTTCTTCCAGATCATCATACAGTTTATTGATAAAAACATCTAGGGCTTGCTTATCTGGAGGTCCAAGGGAAAGAGCAGATACTTTCTTCACCCATTCACTCAGGGAGCTGGTACCAACACCCTGGCCATTGGTTCCAACCAGAGCAACCAAGGATCGGAATCCTTCAGGGGTCAGCCAGTTCTAGGATTGGAAAATTAATTACATTCAGAAAAATGTAACGCACGATTTAATGATAATAAAATTCACACATTGAGCATTAGATTAAAATGAAGTAAATCTAAAAATTCCATAAAATTTTAGTTGTTAACACTTACATGAGAAGCATTGTCAGAAGGTAGGGCCTGCAGTATCAATGTCCGCAGCATTTCCAATTGCCCTTGGAATTGTTCCCCAAGCAGTTTATGGGCAATCTCATCCTCATGGTTAACAACTCGATGGCAAAACTATAAAGTAAAATCATAGATTTAAATCCAAGTTCCTTTTTTTGAGAATAAAATTACAATAAAATAAGATCAGTTGTCTACAAACCTGCATAAATGTGTGCATGATTCTTTCTTTATCATTTTCCTGGTGAATCATTGCAATGATTCGAGCAAGCAGCATGATACTAGTAGTTTCTGGTGGGTAATGCATTTGTCTGATGGAAAAGAAAGATAATGGAATTAATTTGTGACATGATATTCAGTAGACATAAGAGTAGGACAGATTCTAAAATTAGAAAGGAGTAATAAACCTACTTCCACGCATCATTTAACATGTCTAGAGGATGCTGTCCTAGAGAAGCGTCCCTTGTGCGGGCCTGGGTGCACAACGTTCGATGATATTTTGCCCAAGCCTGTTCAAGGCAAGACACACTGCAATAGCGAACCTAGCAGAAAATAATTAAAATAAGATAAGAAAATTGTTTCTACAACTATAATGCAATTGATTCGCTGAGAATGGTTGAAAATTAATTTCTTAGGTTCTTCAGACTGAATATCCACTGGAAATATGTTACTTACACCACAAGCCCCACACTCTGTGTGCTGGTTTTTGGCAGTGACACAGCATTGAGGGTAAGGCAGGACAAGTTCTGGTTTTCCTGAGAGCCTCCTGGCATTCTCCTCAGCACTTTCCAGAGGCCTGGATAAAAAGAAGCCATCAACCATTTATTAACAAGCATCTGGCGTTTAGAATAGACCAGTATTTAATAAAGAATTTGTTAGACCAGTTACTCTACTTTGAAATCCTTACCTCATGCAATAATCACAACTTAGGTATCCATAGGCTTGATTCCATGCAAACTGGCAACAAACCAGAGGTTGTTCTTCAAACACTACCTCACCTGCCTTGAAGGCACGCACTGCAAAGAGTCCCTTGCCCTATAAAACAGTTAAAAAATTAATGAAGTATGAAGAAGTAAGGACAATTCAACTGCTATTATAGAGTAAACTGTTACCTTCAGATCATCGACATATCGGACCTCCACACCAAGTGGGGACATCATGATGGTAGTAGTTCAATGATTGTTTTTTTTGCACAGGTTGCACAAAGTGGCTGCATAATAGAGAAAAATGTGAAAATTTCAAATGCACTGTTGTCTGCATAAGATATACAAACTCTATGTGGGATATTCAATCATAACAATTAGTAACACCATAAGAAAGGGTTAAGTCTGCAACAGTATAGCAATGACAGACTGCAAGCAACCAAACGTTTTAGATGAAAAATGGAAATACATATACATGTAAACTGAAGCAATTTAGGATCATAAGTGAGACTGGATGTGGGGAAATTGTTACTAAATTATATAAAACACCACCTAACAGTAGTGATTCGTGGTTCCAGCCAGACATCCAAGATAGTTGACAGATGCGACAAATGACATGGTCCCGACCTTAAGTCGTTGGCTCATTATTCAATTCGTCAAGCAACAACACCCAGCTCGTCACGTAGTGGTGCAACTGTGCGTGTGTGATTTGCTGTCAGACAGTTTCATTTAACAGAGACAGCTAACCTCGCTAACCGTTACCAGCACACCCGGTACTACTTCTCTGCTCAGCCAGTTTACACACATCTTTGCTATTTTTACAATAAGCGTGTTACCAAAAGTCAAAAGACCCTGCAGATATTCCCTCGGCAGGCACACACTATTACCTTCCCGAGGAAAGCAAAAGTATTTTCAATTTTCCCTTACTTCTCACTGTTTGATGTTTCAGCAACACAGCATGGCAAGATAGCCGTAGTACATGGAGAGGGTTTTGGCGTCGCTAAGGATCCGTTCCGTTGAGCAAGTAAGCGTTGTGGCACGCCTGGCAAGCGTTTCGCAGTCACCAACCCACCGAAAAATTATGCGTTTTTAAAAGGTCACATTATGCAATTTTTATTAA